ATTTCTTTTTTTTTTGTCAATAATCATTAGACACGTTTAAATATATACTACGATTCTACTCTTTTTCTTTTCTTTATCACATCTTCATATATATATATTTTTTAAATTAAATAATAGAAATATAATAAACATTCGCACGATTATTTTCAATCCTGGCATATATATATATGAAATTTGAGAAAAGAAGGACTCGTTTATAAATCATTCGTTCAAATAATTCGCGTCAATGACGACAATTAGATCAAATTTGCTATCTTAATTTTCTAATAATGTCAGTAAAGCTCTCCCCTCTAACGATATGGAAGATCGTTTTAATCTTCACACACACACACATTCACTGATAATTATATAATATATTTATAATTCGATTTAAGTGGAAATTCTTCTTCGCATTTCTTTTTTTTTTTAACCTCCTTTTGTTTGTTTGTTTTTTCTTTTAATTATTATTATTATCTTTTGTTTAAATCCGACCTAACTTTTAAATATCAATAAAGTTTCTTCGATATATCGGAAGATTCTTCTCGATCGATCGTCAAAGGAAATTTCATATTTCGGACAATCCGTTTCTTCTTTTTTTCTTTTTTTTTTTTTTTAATATATATATTCTACATTCGAGGAGAATCTTCTTTGGCAACTATCTCTCTCTTTTTTTCTCTCTCTCTTTCTCTCTCTCTCTCTCTCTCTCTTTCTTTCTTTATTTCTTTGAAATTATTCTATCAATGATCGGAAAATTCTTATTAATTTTTATAAATAAAAGTTTAAACGACAATATAATATTATTTGTTAATTATAAATCAGTACGAATATTTCTAATTAACGACAATGATATTTTTGATTTCTATTAGAAAGAAAAATTGTGAAAGAATTATATAATATTATCATATTTATAAATCGATAAGAGAATTTTCCGATCAAAAATTTCACATTTGTTATTCTTCGTTTACGAAAAAAAGAAAGAGAGAGAGAGAGAGAGAGAAATCGTATAGATCGTTTCACAATCAAAGGCTAATTTAAGATTAAAAATATTCGTGATAAAAGTATCTCGATGATGATAATAATTAATTGTTATCCGATCTGGATGATTTATATCGTCTTTCAACGAATCGAAAATGAAATGTTTTTTCCGGCAATGCCAAAGTACCAATGGGTACTTTATAAATTTCATTATTAGCCGGCAATATCGTAAAGTTTTTCAACAATGTGGCAATAGTTGAAAAACTTATATACTGAACCATTTTATAACCCATGCACGATCTTCTACCACCGCCAAATGGTAAAAAGTGTTCTGGTTTGTGAAGTCTACCATCACGTAGGAACCTTTCGGGCATGAATTCTTGGGGCGAGATCCAAAGTTCGTCGGACATGTTTAATTCGTAATTGTTTAAAAATATAAACGTGTCCTTTTCGATTCTGTAACCTGTAAAACACAGAAACAAACACACATACACAAACATGATATATAAATAATTTTATATTAATATAAAATTGAGAGAGAAAGAGAGAGAGAAAAAAAGAAAAATATATATGAGAAAAATGTATAACGAATAAAAATTTGATTTTAAATATTTACCTGCGATCGAACTTTCTTGATTGGCCACGTGAGGTACGATAGGACTGGCAATCAGCCTGATAGCTTCCAAAATGATAGCTTCGGTGTAAGGCATGACACTTCTGTTTCCTAATCCAACAAATTTCTCATCGATAACAACCGAATCGATTTCTCTTTGAGCTGTTTGTTGTATGTGCGGTCTGCTAGCCAAAAATCCAAGGATTTTCACGAGAAGATTACCGACAGCCGAATGACCACCAATGATATCTTCCAAAGCAAACATGGCAACGTCCCAAGACATGGTTGGTTCGGAATCGGTTTTAACATGATTTATCAAACAATCTATGTAATCATTTTCTGGTATGACAGATGTCCATTTGTTCAATCTTTCCTCGATAATATCCTCGTCGACGAATTGACGAATCTCGTGACTCCAATTGGCCATTCTGGCCATGTTACGTTGATGCAATGGCATCAGGAATGGCATGAAATCGGCCGCGTAACCTTGATTAACTTCGTAAAATACTTTATCGAAATTGTCAACCATTTTGCGAAATGGTTTGTAGTCGAATGGGAAACTCTTCGAGCAGAAATATTTCACGAATACGCTAGCACAGGTATGCAGTACCAATGGTTTTGCGTGTAAGCTACCACCCGAATACGAGCTCAAATGATTCATCATAATCTCTAATTCGGCACCTATTATATCGTTCAATTGATTGTAACGCATCGTGAATGAACGAGGAAACGTGTGAGCTCTCAGCATCTCTCGACGTGTCTTTTGTAATTCGGACCAATTGCAAAATGCAAGAGCTGCAAATAAAATCAAACAAACAATATTAATGATCAGTACACATTTTTACGATTCGGAGATTTTTTTACTTTTTTTTCTTTCTTTTTTTTTTACGAGCACGTAATACGAGAAAGAAAATCGAGACTTGACATTAAACTTGACCTTAATTCAGAATCCAACGTCAATTTGTCGTTTGGCGAAATTTCATCGGGTAGAAAGGGAACGAGAAGAAAAAAAAAAGAAAAAAAAAAATTATGCGTGCACGCAATTATCCCTCTCTCTCTCTCTCTCTTTCTCTCTCTTTTTCTTAATCTTCCTTCTCCTTTTACAACGGCGAATAGATCGTGAAAAACGCGGAAATGCAAGGTCGGTGGTACTGAAATAACTAACAGCTAAGCCTTTAGACGATTTAAGTTGACTCGACAAAAATGAATAATTTAACAAATCGCGTTATCCGTCTCTCTACCGTGTATGTGTGTGTGTATAGTTTTTTTCTGTTTTTAATATTAATTTTACAAATTAAACTTTAATATCGCGCGTCTCGATCGCGTAATTAATTCGACGAATAACAGTAAACGTAATTTTGTTTATACGCAAACTTGTGATTAATCGTTTAGATAAATATAAAATAAAATTCAATTATTTACTTCTTTCGTCTCGTACAAAAATATAATTATTAATAAATAAGTATCGTAAGAAAATTGGACATTAAAAAGAACTAGAACTTAGTTTTGATTAATTGGACGTTTCGTACCTTTATTGTGGTACACGATACTTATTTATTAATAAAATAAAATAAAAGAAAAAAAAAGAAAAAATAAAATAAAAGGAAAGGGGAAAGAATCTTCCCGTTGGATCTTGATGCATATCGAGGAACGAAACCCCCATCATCAACCTTGATCCTGTTTACGAGCGGGGAACTCGTTACGAGTCTGGAACGCGTGAAAGTGGTAACGTGACCTCTAACAGCCAGTGGTACTTGAACTTGGTACCGCTTCAACATTCCGCGACCTTAACACGAGTTTCGTCCCGCAACAGATCGGGGAGGATCCCTTCCGTCCGTCCGTCCGTCCGTCTGTTCGTTTATACGTCCGTACGTCCACACGTTTAACCATCACTCGACACGAGTTTTATTCCTTCTTGCCGATAAGCAAACTCGCGATAATTTAAACTCGTATGCGTTATAATAGTCCGACCGGATCCGTTCACGTGTCGTCGCGTACTATAGCAGCAAGGTCGTTAGCATGAGGAACGAGTTTTTGGCCCGTTTCAAAAAAAAGGTACACAAGTATTTTGTTGTTGATTCGATTTTTTTTCTCTCATATCTTTTTTTTTCTTTTTTTTCGTAATTGCAACACTAGAGACAGAGAGAGAGAGAGAGTTTATTTTGTGAAAACATATGTGGACGCGTTGTAACTATGTCAGCAAATATTTTCTTCTTTTTTTTTCTTTTTTTTAATTTAATATTAAACGGTATCGATGTTTTTTCTCTATTGCATCGGATCAAATGACTCTTTCGTCTTCGAATAGATTAAAATAAAAAAAATATATATATATATATATATCATTTATGCAATAAAAATTGTCGACTAACAAAACGTTATTATAACTTGTAAGAAATGTTGTCAACAATTTGACAACCAATCGCTTGATACGCGTATAAAAATGTTATAAATTTTATAAAAAGTAAAAAGTAAAAAATAAAACTCACAATTCTCCTTGTTACCGCAGAACAATAGATGATAACGAATGAAATTAGGCCTGGAATCAAAGTGCGGTCCCTTGGTGAATAATACTTCTTTAATATTTTCTAATCCATTGACAACGACGCAAGGAACCGATCCCATTTTCAGTTTGATCACTTGGCTGTCGTAGACCTTGACAAGATCGGCAAATGCTTTGTAAGGCACATCGTAACGTCCAAGTATATGAAGGGATCCCAAAATTGGCCATGGTTTTGGACCGGGTGGTTCTGGTAATAATGATCCCTCGGAGTAAAGGATTTTCCCTCGTTTATTAGACTTTCCTGATCTGATATAATCGATCAGGATAAATATTAATGCTAATACGGTAATAGCGATAAGGAAGGAAGTTGTCAAACTTAGCGACAGCATATCTTCAGGTGTATATTTTAATCACCCACAAATTATAATATACTTTTTTTTTTATAATATCTCTTTTTTTCTTTCCCTTTTTTCTTAATTCCTTTTCACTCGACGCAAGTATACGCGAATGGCGAGGGGTGCGTAAAAAGAAAGAAATAATAAAAGATAAGAATATTACTCCGAAAGAGAACAAAACAACAAAATTTCAATCGAATGAAATAATGAAAATTAAAAGATTTTTATAATTGTAACCCGGTTATACAATTTTGGGGATGGGGAATACAACATTGGCCGCGAATACACTCAAGTAACACGTTTCAGATCTCTTGTTGATTGGTTGATTGGTTGGTTTCTGATATACCGGTAACTTTCTTCTTTTTAACGATGACGATGACGATGACGGTGACGATGAATCTTATCAAATAGTAGTAGTAGTAGCAGTCGTAGTAGTAGTTAGAGATAGAAGAAAAATGATTGGCACGTTAGTTGTAATTGCCTTTTCTCTTTCTCTCTCTCTCTCTTGGCGTTGTGTGTTGTCCTGACGTAGTCCCGTCTGTGAACGGTCTGCCGATCTGACTCGGTCTGTGGGGATAGGATGGTTGCCCGGCTATCTTATATAGCCGGTAATGTGGTCTGTATAATGCAGCAGTCAGCACATTTGCGTCGCCTGTGCCTCAACCCCATACATATGGATTCGTGTGAGAGAGGACTTGAACAGTGGCAGGGGAGGTGGACACGGTTTCTCTCTCTTTCCCTCTCCCTCTCCCCTTCTCTCTCTCTCTCTCTCTCTCTCTTTCCTACACTGTACGCTGACCATCATTTATCTCTCTCTCTCTCTCTCTTTCTTTATTGAGTATTCCCTTGCCCCCTTGTTCCCTTTCTCGGAGGACCAATTTAGCGAAAACGTCGAGACGACGTTTGGATCGATAATCGATAAGACAAATGAAACGGGTTTAAGGGAAGAAGACCCACCCCTCTTTTAATGAAAACAAAGACGAACTGTGTGTGTGCACACCAGAGTAGAACCTAATGGAAAAAGGAAGAAGAGGAAAAAGAAGAAGAGGAGGAGGAGGAGGAGGAGGAACGAGTTGAGATCGTTGAAGTAGTCGTTTGAGTGGGGCGATGGATTGAGGAGGAGAGGACGGGGGGTTATGGGGGGTTTGGAGACAGGCCCCGTAGGGCCGATCCAAGGGACGCTTCTTGCCCTTGACTTCTCTCCTTAAGGTGCCATCAGCTTTTCTGGCAAGGTGGTTTCTCGCAGCTGCGACAGTCCATCTTCTCCCTCTTCCTTCTCCTCCTCACCACCACCATCACCACCACCATAGCTGCCACTGCCACCCTCCTTCACCTTACGACGTGCCTCTCGACGTTAATCTTGGCTCGCGCGTTTACTTGGAAAAATGGTGACGAGATACGAACGAGAGCGAGAGAGATAGAGGATAGAGAGATGAGTAAAGAAGAAGAAAGGTAGCAGCAACAGCATCATCTCTTTTCGTTGGTTCTCTTTTTCCATCATTTAGTAGACCCTTCTTCGGGAGGTTGGACCGACCCTCCGGAGAATCTCCAGAAGCAAGAAAGCCGTTTTCGGCTTTGCACCTGTAAGACGCACCTTGAACGTTCTCGATGCGGGGTGGAATTACGCCCGATGGAAATACTGGAGATGTTTCTTTTCTTTCTTTTTTTTTTTTTTTTTTCTTTACCAGCATGTGGAAATTATTTGATAAAAGATAATATTTTTTAATTGTAAATAATATATTATAATTAGAGCGTTTGATGTAGCATTAATACGAGATTTAATTTTTAATAATAAATATAATAATTAATAATTGTTATATGGATAATTGTGAAATTAAGATGTTTGATCAAATAGATAAATAATTATTTATATAATAAGCCAAAGGCTTGATGGAATTGCTAGATGGCTTCTTTTTTTTCTTTATTTCTTTCTCCCCAACACACGTCAAGTTGATTTTATTATTATTATTATGTTATAATCGATTCGATCATCTCGTCTAGAGATATTTTTATCCATATCGTATGTTTCTCTAACAAATTATTTCAATTGACGGCGACCTACTTTTGACCAATCCGAATTTTTTCAAGGTAATTTAATTTTTGAAACAATCCTATTGGATATATTTTATTTTATCTTTTCTTTCCTTCTTTCTTTCTTTCTTTCTTTCTTCAGACAGAAGTATAGGTGTCTCTCATCTATTCCACGAAAGCACAATTCTCGTTTTTTCCGATATTTTTCATTTATTATATGTATCAACGATCTAATCGAAAATCGAATGATCTTGAATCCAAAGTCCGTCGTCGTCCGCAGGATGTTTCAATGGATTACGTAATCGTTACAACGTTAATATTCGAGATCGATGAAGAGAATACTTAGTTTATCCTAACGAAAACCATTGCGTCACGTCATAATCGATGAATTATCTCGAGAAATTACTGATCGATCTTTTACTAATTACAATATTCATCGAAGATAAACGAAATAATTAGAATTCAAATATAATTCGATTATTTTTATAAAAACTAAAAATGAAGACATTTAAACTAAAATAAAATATTTATAAAATTGATAGAGAACCCAGTAAATACAATCAGAAATAAAAAATAGATAATAATAATAATAATATTACTAAGTTTAATTCTTAGGGAAGTTATTTTTTGGACAGGTTTAATTTAGAAGAACAATACATTTATCCGTTGAACGTTTCGTCTCTATTTGAGACTTCCTCAGCAACTTGATAGTTATGTTCATAAGTCAATATAACATCATTTTTATTACAGTCATAAGTTTTCACTATCTTATAAATAGAGTCAATTTTTAAGAACGTTATTCTACTATAACTTTTCGAACACTAAACGTTCAACGGATAAATGTATTGTTCTTCTAAATTAAACCTGTCCAAAAAATAACTTCCCTAAGAATTAAACTTAGTAATAATATTAAAAAATTTTGGATAAGGGGAAAAGAAAAATCTTTATTATATTAACAATAATAATAATAATTGAAAAAAAATAGAGTCGGACAAGTGAACCACCTATTATTATTATTTTATCATTAATTTGATCATGGTTGGAGGGTAAACGTTGGTTAAACAAAAAAAAAAATTTGGAAAAATAAAATATATCAATTAAAAGAATGATAATAAATAAAGGACACATACAACCATGGCCTACTTCGAGGGAAGTTTTAGGGAGAAGGTAGGATGAAAAGTCTATGTGTTCGGACTATAGGATACGTGTTCTCCAACGTAAAAACTAGACTGACTCTCAATGAGCAAGAATATTACGGTCCCCTTACGGTCAGTCGGCCAAATCCCATTCACCGTGTTCAAGCAGAAGAAAGCTAACGAATGCGTGTCCACCTTTTGCCAATGTTCTATCTTTCTTCTTCTTATTATTTCTGATCATCCTTTTCAGGTGGTCCTTTGATGAAAATAAAATTATTACGAATTAAGAAACACTGTTAACATTTTGCAATTATTTTAGTAATCAAATTTGTCGAACAATTCTTACATCATTGATATTTAAATATATTTCTAAATTTTAATTTTTACGTTTGATTCAACGATAATTATTGTTCAATAATAAAATATAATACATTTTTTAAACGACAACACAAAATTTTTGTCAACGCGATGATCAATATTTTATTTTGTAACATAACGAATCAAAGAATCGTGAAATTAGGGTGAATCAAAAGTTCGTGGATATAAAAAAGTAATTTTATTGACTTGAAAAAAAAAAACAAAAAATTGCACTATCTCGAAACAACACGACAAACGTAAGAAACATTTTTTTGGTTTCATCTTGATTTATTTCGTGTTTTGAGAATATTGGATAGGATTATCAAACGATAGGATTAGAAAGAAAGTTGAAAAAACTTCGCGATCATTTTTCGAGGAATGATTGTATCGAACCCATCGATACTTTTTTTTTTTTCCTTTTTAACGGAAGTCGATTCTAGATCGGGGCATCGGATCTCTTGAAATTGTTCGGAGAAAAAGAGGTCGAGAGTGTTCTCGAATGATCGAAGATAGTTACGATTGGTTAACCTTATATACGCAATATTTTCTTCGCGTATATAGAAATAATTTTCAATTATTATAATATACTGTCTGACATATATTATTATTTAATATTATATAATTATATTATTTCATTCGATTAATTCGTTCACTTTTTCTATAGAATTTTAATTAACAAATTTCACTATAATTCGCAATGATTTCCTGACATAATTTTCTATTATGTCAGAAATCCATTATTTCATTCGATAAATTCGTTCACTTTTTCTATAGAATTTTAATTAACAAATCTCACTATAATTCGGAATGATTCCTGAAATAATTTTCTACGTATAACATTCTGCTTTTCTCTCATCAAACGTAAAATAAAAATCTTAACAGTTCGATTGTTTCAACATTTCAAACGTATTATTTATTTACATTGAATTAGATTGAAAATTAATAGAAATCTATTTCGTAATCATTCAACATATTGATAATAAATTTGTTAAACGATTTCCAATTATTTCTAATAATCTACTGAATATACAAAAACATAATAGCTAACAAATACTTTAACATTTTTTCTCCTCCCCTAAATAAATAAAATCAAAAAATGATACGAACTAAATTATCCCCCTCCTCCTACCCCAAAAAAAGAATATTTACGTAAATCATATAAACGATCGATAATGGATAAGTTTGGTGATAATGTTGGGTTACTCGAATCTATGAGAAGGAAAAGGAAGAAGGTATTCAAATAGAAAGATAAAGAAAGACACAAAGAGAAAGAGAAAGAGAGAGAGAGAGAGAGAGGAAGACATGTTTGTTGGTTGGACAAGCAAAGAGACTGAGTAAATACATACATACATATATATACATATATATATATATATATATATACATATATATATATAAGTGAACGTATACTCCTGTTCGAATTCGTTTGAACTAATGAATAAAAGATGAGTATTGGTGGTGCGTAAGATA